TTATTTGCATTACGATTTAATTAGGGAAGATCATACATCGAGGTAGTATTTAATTTCGGCCAAATATATTTATTTCATCCGCGATAAAATTAGGTAAAAATTTTAGAAATCCTTCGAACTTCATGCATGTTATTATGTGCGAAATGTAATTATGGTCGCGTGATTAGTAGCTCGTAATCGTGAGATTCAACGTGAAGTTATTATAGCACAAGGGATATTAGGATATTTGTCGTTTGTAATTATGGTCGCGTGATTAGTAGCTCGTAATCGTGAGATTCAACGTGAAGTTATTATAGCAGAAGGGATATTATTAGATATTATGAGAGACCTTTAGGAATTGTTTATTTGTCGCTCGGGTGGAGAACGTAAGAAGAGGAAGGGAAAAAAGCAGAAGAGAAAAAGAAGAAGCAGAAGAAGAAAAAGGAGATTCGTTTTCACCGGCCAGGTGGCATCGGTGCTTCTGAAATCAAAACATTTACTTCCGGCCGCGATGGAGATAGCTTTTCAAAAAAATAGATTCGGAGAGAAGATAAAATAGATGAAGGGGAATTTTTTCCGGAAATTTTCAGAAAACTTTTTCCAGTCCCCGTAACGCCGTGTGACTGCAAGCTCGCAGAGCCGTTTATCTGCATCTTTTATTTTCCACGCTGTTCCCGCGGGATCTTTTTATCGCCGCTGGAAATAGATCATCGCGGCTCGAACGAGATTAAAGCTGAAGTTACAACGCTGTTAAAATGAAAATTCTATTTAGAATATCCGAAGGAGTATAAATGTCCGTGGAAGTGACGTATAAAAGTCACCATGCTTGAACTCTGCTCGGTCTATCAAGTCCCTGGGCGTCGTCACGTTTCCTCCTCGATAATTCAAACAAAATTCTCTATTTAAACTCGCGATGACGGATATAACAATTTGCCAGCCGCATCCGCGCAGAGAAAATCGATTAAATAGGAAACGTACGTCACAGGAAAAGAGCAAGGAGGAATTTACAACCCTTATAGAATCCTCTAATTATACGCGTATTTTTAAAAGACTTCATCTCTGGCTTCATCGTTGATTTAAACCGATGTTTGAAATCCCTCTTCTTCGTTTTCTAAATTTCTATGAACGTCGTATCGAATGAATATTCACACTCGGAGAAATAAAAGAATAATCTCTCTTCTGCATTTAGAAATTCACCCTTCAACGGGTTGAACAACGCGTTCCTCGACGTAGTCCTGTAATTGCTATCTACTTGGACCAATCTCTTTTTCAACCTCTGCTCCTCTATACTTTCCAAATTTCGATGATAATTTATTCTAAATTAGATAATTTAGAATAAAGAAATAATTATGTTTCTCTAGCTTTAGGAAATTCACCCCTCAACAGGCTAAACACACGTTTTTCATCATATTTCTGTAATTACCAGCTACTTGAATCTCTTTTTCGATCTCTCTTCCTCTTCATCGTTTAAATTTCGATGAAAATTATTTTGGATAATTTATAATATAAAAGGAATAATTTTCCATTTCCACCCTTAAGAAATTCTCCCTGTAAAAGGTTAAACGTACGACTTTCGATATGTTCCTGCAATTACCACTTACTTGAGCCAATCTTACTTTCAATCTCCCTTCCTCTACACTTTACAAATTTCAACGAATAGTATATTAACCCTTTACACTCGACGATTCTTTGGCCAAAGAAGGATAGGAATTCGAAGATGTTCTGTTACACAGCTGACGATATTTTTCTGAGCAGTGAATAAGAAATCGGATGATACTTAACACGTAGAATTATTTGATTTCGGTACCTTGCACACTGTTACATTATCTGATATTTGACACGTTTATGAATATCGAGCTTCGAAATTTGATCAAATGGTGACTGAAGGGTGCCTCTCGAGCGCAAAGGGTTAAATAATATATTAACCCTTCGCACTAGACGACTTCTTCGTTACAGGAAAATAGCAATTCGAAGAATTTCTGTCATAGAGTCGACGATATTTTTAAAATGGTAAATGAGAAATCATATGGAAATTAAGACATAGAATTATTTTTCTTCAACATTGCACACATCGTTAGGTAATTTTAAATTTGATATATTAATTAACGTCGATCTTTAGAATCTGATTAAATGGTGACTGAGAGTCACCACTCGAGTGCAAAGGGTTAAGATTCTCCAACCTCGAGAAATTCATCTCATAACGTGTTAAACAAATTCATCTCCGGATATATTATTTTCACAAACAGCTCCTACTTGGAGCAACCTCGCTATCCCTCTGCACTTTCCAAATTTCGCGCAACAAGGAGAAGAATCTCGATCGGGAAACGTCGGGGAGTGACGTCACGCGTTGGCCGAATGGCATTTAATTGCACGAAACGTTAGTTTAAATTCGGTAAGAGAATTTGGCAACGGGCGTGTTCCTCGGCGTCCCGAGTCTCCGGGCGTCGTACACGCGACGGAATATAGAATATAAACGGCTGTACGCCGGCGTCGTTCTGACGTATCCGTCAAAAAATAACCACTTGCGGCCCGACGCTCGATCCTCTCGCGCCCCCTGACTCGCAAAGTGGCCATCGATAAACGCCCTCGTCGCGATCCACGGACACTCTGACGCAATCCATGACGCCGTTCATGATCGCGCTCATGACCCGTCACGCGACGCCCCTTTTCGACCCGCGCCTCTTCCGCTCCGCGTTTTGATAAAGCGTTCTTGTCCCACCGTCCTCGCGCAACCCGTCATGCGCCTGTTTACATCCGCCGTGCGTTTCTGATACCGTGTCTCGCTATCGATGCGACGCCAGGCGTCCTCGCGCGTCTCGCTCCGAGACCGCTCCCAATAAATTTCATAAACGAGTTTATGGCGAATTAACTGTTGAAATCTTAGAAGAGGATCGAAGGAATCTTAGATCGGAGTCGGTAGGGAAAATTGCACAAATCGGTAAGGGTTCTTCGCGTGTTTTGGATCCAGCGAATTGGGGTAGGTTTGGGTTAGGATTTGATTAAACAAAGATTGGAATTAGAAGTGAGAATCGTTTTGTATCACTATGTTCCATTGTATCAAATGTTATTAGATAGTAGCTTTAAAATTTGTTTCAAGATATTTATTTATGGTTTTCATTTTTTGAGCTCCTCTTTCGTACCAAAGATATCGTGGGTTATTATTTCAAGTTGCGCGATTCGAACGATTTACTTTGGCAACGAAAGTGAGTAGACGCGAGGATTTTATTTGCATTACGATTTAATTAGGGAAGATCATACATCGAGGTAGTATTTAATTTCGGCCAAATATATTTATTTCATCCGCGATAAAATTAGGTAAAAATTTTAGAAATCCTTCGAACTTCATGCATGTTATTATGTGCGAAATGTAATTATGGTCGCGTGATTAGTAGCTCGTAATCGTGAGATTCAACGTGAAGTTATTATAGCACAAGGGATATTAGGATATTTGTCGTCTTACCTGAATTTTTCGAAATTTTTCTTCGTACCGAAGGTATCTTAGATCACTATTTGCCATTCGAATCATATATACGATATGAATAATTAAATTTGGCAACGAAGACGAGAAAATAAGAGAAATAGCAATTTTTATCAATCAGAAAATCATGTTGCAAATATTCGTAAATTCAGAGAATTCCTTTTCCCTGTTCTTCATTTTTCCCTCGACCCACCCTCTCTCAGCTCCCCTTGAATTTCCATTCGTAACTTTCGCAACGACGTCACGGCTTATCGTGGCCGAGCGATTTGCATATTCATAGATATCAATGGATCCTTTTATAGACTCCTCTGCGAATTACGTCACGCGGCCGGCTAACCTATCCTGCTCACCTCGATTTAAAAAAAGAAGGTGGAAGAAAGGAGAAAACGAATAGAAAATGGCAGGACCGTTCCCGCGACGCGTCTATTTTTACGGTAACCGTGTTTTCATATAGAGAGACGCTAAAATTTCTATCGGATACGTCGGGAGCGCGTGCAGATTAGTTCACGTCAATCTTAAACAGGTGACTCGGATTCCCAACTCCGCGTGGGCGCACTTCTTCGTCCTCCTCTCGCGTCTTCGCGAGCGATCATCGAAAACCACTTCGAAAACTAGCGAAACAGCCGATCGCGAGCTCCTGTCGATCTGTCCCAGAGCCCATTGCTCGCGTTTAATTTAGAAAGACGATCGACGATTTTCGTGAAAACGAACAACGGGTTGCATAGTGCTAGTGACAAAGTATAGTATCGCATGGGTTGCTTTCCTTTGGAAAAATTCCAAGGGATCTGTATCCACGATTTCCCACACGAGATTCTCTTTAACGTTTCAATTCCTCTGGGAGTATATGGGAAAGAAGACTCGCCGTGATATTGATCGATTAAAGGTGGACACGCTTGGCTGACTAGCTGCGGAGTTGTACTACTCGAGGAACGAGAACCGTAGTGTGTTCATTGAAAGCGAAGAGGATTTTAGAAGTAGAAAGATGGTTTATAGATTAAATTATTTAGGCGATTTTTATGTTGACATCGCGTACTTTTATAAAGCCACGATAAAATTTCCATTATTTCTAGTATAGCAGGAAAGAAAAAATGGCGCGAATTATTAATATTCTCTATCTATTTCCATTCTTCAAATTTTCAAAAATTGGTTGAAATAAGACGAATATGCACCGTGACAATGAACGGGTTAATTTGTGTCAAAAATATTCGTGGAAAAAGTATCGCGTGCTTATTGTGTTTAACGCAATAGCGTTTAAAAAGATAAAATTTCCCCCCGAAATTCTAGAGTATTTAAGCTCATACTCTATCTAAAGGGTTGATAGGGTATTAATTATAATATTACTGTCTATAAAATTGGGAAAAAAATAGGAAGACTTAGTAAAAGACGTGATGCTTAATTCGAGATTTAAAACGCGTCTTCATCGTCTTAAACGAAGCTCCTCTCCAACTTATCTACGCGAAGTCTTCGAATTTTTTTCCATATTAGCACGCGATGGTTTCGTTCGTTGACTCGTGTACAAGTAGCGTAGGATCGATCTACTTACCTCGTCGGTCTTAGCAGCTACCGTGGGCTCTATCAGGCTGGTGAAGCTCGTTCTGCTACCGTGTCTGCTGCTCCTCGACAGACACCCGACGTCCGAGACCTCACCAGCGGCGATTCTAGCGATCCTATCGTTCTCCAAACACTGTGACAGCGGTATGCCGAATACCAGGCCGCCTGACGAATCTGAAACAAAAGAACGCGAGGATACCATGGATCGTTTCGATCGCCGAGTAATTCGCTGCTCTGAGATCGCGAAAGAACCGGACATTACCGTGGGAATAATTTATGGAGATACTTTAGGAAATAATTTAAGAAATAATTTAAGAAATAATTTCGAAGAATAAACGAAATACAAGGGAAATAGAAGCTCGAGTCTACCTAACTCGTCATCGAATCGCGATCAATTCCTGTCAGGGAGAGTTAATCTCCAAGAACGAGATAATTTCGTTGTTATCTCGTTATCAAGTGAAAATTTAGGTTCGTTATCGTCCAGGTTTCAGCTAATTCATTTAATCTCGGATCACTTCGATCAGCCAGCCAAACAGGAGATTTCATCTGATCTACGAGTGGTCAACTATCTCCCATATTATTTAATTATGTTTAACCCTTTGCACTCGAGATGTGACTCTCAGTCACCACTTAATCGGATTCGAAAGATCGACGATAATCAATATATCAAATTTAGAATTACCTAACAATGTGTGGAATGTGGAAGAAAAATAATTCTACGTCTTGATTTGCATATGATTTCTCATTTACCGTTTTAAAAATATCGTCGACTCTATGACAGATAATCTTCGAATTACTATTTTCCTGTAACGAAAAAGTCGTCGAGTGCAAAGGATTAATTATTTAAATAAGATTATCGATTGTTCGAACACAAATATGTCTATATATGTACGTTCTCGTGGATTTATTTATAAACGATTAATTTTTAGAAATTAATATTCGGTGACCAATTGCAATCGATTTAAACTCGAAGTCCAAACTATGAGATATCTCATAATTGGCAGTCTCGTAGTTGACAGCGAATGGGTTAACTGTTGGGCCTCTGTTCCAGGCATAGACTGACCGACTCTAAGGTCCTGTGAGACTAAATGTCCCGTGAACAGAGGCTCGCAGGGTTGAAGCCCGTGCCGCATCGTTGATTCCGACAGAGTGCTTTCCTCTGTTTGGTACGCTTGGAAGTGTGCAATAGTTGGCGAGGAATTTTTCGCGCGCGTTAAAATAGCTTTAACGCCGTTGGGGTCTATCGGAAAGCTGCGAAACTTGGAAATTCGCGTCGTCGTAGGCCACTTTAGAGTCGTCTCTGGCGACGTGGACGTTTGATAATATTCCGGCTGGCCATGAATGCTTCGGCCACTTTATTTTCGGTACTAAACCGCCCGCTGTTCGGCTAAGTTCGCGGAAACGCGTCGTGCCACCTTTCGAATTTCATCTTATTACTTCTTAATTGCTTCTCGCCGCTTGCCAAATGCACACGCGCGAGTAACAATCGCCTTCTGTGACGTCCTCGAGCATTCCTACTCCCGCGATTACTCCTCCAAGATGGAAACCGCCATTGGCGGCCCGAGTCGAGTGGAAAATGTCGCTCCAAGTCGAACTTCTTTTAAATTTATCTTCGATTCAGCTCAGGGGAAATAGAAAACGTTATACGGTCGGCTAAATATAACCGAAGCTATGAAGTAGGTGAAGTGTAACGTAACATTGTAATATTATTTAACACCGCGTTTTCAAAGAAGAAACTGACCTGATAGGTATTGGGGAATTAAATCTCTGAAAGTTTTTAAAACGTCGGTGATATAATTAATATTATCACGGAAGATATTCTTGAAATATGGAGGAGAGTGATAGAAATATGCAATATTTAATGAAGCATAAAAATTACGATTCTTTTTACGCGATTAATATTCAATTTTCAATTTCGATAATGACTTTGATATTCCTGCTATTTAAACGTCGATACCGTTTCTCTCAGAATTTTTTCCCAGGTTAAATTTTCATATTCCTCCTGTTTGAAAATTGCAAATAAATTGGTGATCTTCGTGAATTGAGTGTAGAGTAAAAATGTTAATATACCTTAGGTGTGAAGGAAAAGGAAATAGAAGGAAAATTAAAAATCGACAGCTTAATTTCGAGTAAAATCCCTAGGACAAAATATTATTTCGCATTGGAAAGCGAGGAAGATGATAAAATGCGTTCATCCCCGTGGAAGGCACGTGTGCGTTGCTCACGTGTTCCGAATGTGGCAGCGCTCTAAAAGAGGACGTCATTTAAGTAACGTCCCCTCATATGATCGAATATGTCAGAGTTTCGCGGGGCTCTCCTCTTTCTTTCTCACACGACGTAGTCCCGAAGCCAGCTAAAAGCCGAAAGGCAACAAACCGTGTCTCTATACCGGTCCGATTATAGACCACAATCTGGGCCATCCCAGCCTCTCCAAACGAGCTCTCTCGCTCTCTTTCTCTTTTTCTTTCTTTCTCTCTTTCTCTCTTTCACTCGTCGTGGAACGTCGACCACTCTCAGGAGGCGACAATGGACCCAGAGAAGCAGCCTTTTCCTGGAAGTCTCAAAATCATCCGCGATACCTTTCCCCTCTTTCTTCCTGCTTTCTCCTTCTCCCTGTTCACGCTTTCCCTTTCGCTTTCGTTTATCTTTCTCTTCCTCTTCCTCTTCCTCTTCGTTTTCGGTTTCGCTTTCTCTTTCTCTTTCGTTCGCTCTGTTTATTTAAGTCCTTTATGGTCTTCGCCATAAAAGACGTTCGCGACCCTTTAAATTGCTCTTCGTTCAGATTTTATTTAATTTTCGTTTGCTTCTAATTGAGGAATAATCTTCGTTTGTTTGGCGATTTAATATTCTTATTAGGTCCTATTGGCAGAGGCAGACCTGGTAAACACGTGGATCGTCCAGGAAATTGTATCCTCGAATTTTCGAGAGCCTCCTTCGATGATTAAACACCGGTAGGGGAAACAAACTTTATGGAGAAAGGAGGGTGACTTCAAATTTATCAAATATCTAAATTCGCAGGAAAACTGAAAACGCGTTTCCGAGCATTTCCTAGCGATTAATACTACAGAATAATAATAATAATAATAAGGTGGAAATAACTAACAAGGCAGCAAACAACTTATGACTATAGAGTTCCAAAAATACTACTTTTCTTCATCCCCCTGCGTCCTAAATAATAAACGAAAATTCGTCCATGAGACTCAAACACAACGAAGCAACGACATGGCAACGACAAAGAAACGACAGAGCTATCACGAAGCTACAGAAGCGACGAAGCAACAATGAAAATACAATGAAGCAACGACGAAGAGGTGACGGAGCAACGACGGGGAAGCGACGACGCATCAACGAAAATACAACGAAGCAACGAAGTATCAACGAAAATACAACGAAGCAACGAAGTATCAGCGAAAATACAACGAAGCAACGAAGTATCAGCGAAAATACAACGAAGCAACGACATGGCAACGACAAAGAAACGACAGAGCTATGACGAAGCTACAGAAGCGACAAGGCAACAATGAAAATACAACGAAGCAACGACGAAGAGGCGACGGAGCAACGACGGGAAAGCGAAGAAGCATCAACGAAAATACAACGAAGCAACGACGAAGAAAACGAGAAAGCAACGACGCACCGTTGGACGAGACACGTGTTGGAAAAGGACCCGGAGGACCGCGGATGGGGGTAAGTTCCGAACACGCGACCCCGTGGAAGGGCCATTCCGGTTCCCGTTTGACGTCCGGTGTCCCCACGGCACTCGTACCCGGCGCGCACCGCAAATAAACCTGGTATATGCGGAAATATGCACCGCCACCAAGCACCCCGTGGCTAATTTTAACCGGCGAAATTGTGTCTCATACCAGGCTGGCCGACGCTGTTGCCGCGGCCTGGTGCTCGCACATGGGTAAACGGCTGCTTTTTCCCTTCCAGCCGGTTCTCCAGGCACTCGTCACAGCCGGTAATAATTGTACGCACTCGATGGACAAATGGCACAAATTTGTTTCTCCTCCTCCTTTTCTCCTCCTCTTTCTTTCGCTTTTCGAAGCGGATATTTCGCAAGTGGGTGTGAAAAACGAATAGAGAACCAGTGAACAAACGAATATTCGGAAGGTTAACTTGGTCCGCGACGTAAATATAGGAGAAAGGCTAGGTACAAATTAGCCGCAACAACGACCGACTGTTAAAACACGTCTCTGTCAGTCTATTTCGCCACTGGACTATTTCGCGTTTATGCAAACACCCACTCTTTTTCGTCGTCCGCGCGAATTCCGCGTGCAATTTTTACCCGAAACCGTCAGCCGGCGAGTGCTTGACAAACAGGACCACGCGAGTGGGAATGAAACACCAGTTTGACGAACACAAGCCTGGCTATGTGAAGCAGGGGGGAAAAGGAAGCAACAGCGAGAATGCAAAGTTATCACCCTGGAACGCGTTACCCTAAATAAAACCTAACTAAGAGAGTAGAAAATAAATGAAAATAAACGAAGGAGAGGAAATTCGACATCGCCGGAATTTAATTTCTAGCTCTCTCTCTCTCTCTCTCTCTCTCTTAGCGTAGCCTCGCGAGGAGAATTTTCGAAAAATCGAAGGGGGTGAAAATGTACGCGATGGAGTGAACGTGGAATTTCTGTAGTGTAATTTCTAACCGCGAAATTTCGTTAGACTCGCAAGGGAAGGAAGTCTTCATGGCCGATTCGCGTAATTATCAGCGACGGAATGGGAAATGGGGAGACAGGGGCAGAACAGTCGGAATTTGTCCCAAGGATAATATTTGTCTTCGCTACAGCTTGGCTAGATAGGAATACGTATATGTAGGGATGTCGTAAACGCATAAAATGATAGAAGCACTACCTAGCGAACTCTCGCAAACAGAATCACACCTGAAAATAGCTGAACTAGTTATTCTCCAAACAAATAAACGCTCCATAAATCTCCGATCGTTAACTGTGCCGCTTTTCGCACATTAAACTGCGCACTTAATTTACCGCGTTTAATTATTGACTCTACCTACAGGCGAATCTTCATCGCGAAATTATATTTCCAACCTTATTTCGAGCCTCGCGAATTTTTAATCGGGAAAGTCGCAGTCGGTAGTCCTTACGTGGATGTCTTGCTACCTCGCTGCCTATTTGTATATTCGCTCATTCGATATCGTAGGTATCGATTTTATTTTGCGAAAAATTAATTCGTATTTTGTGAAAAATGTGTATCAATTTTTTTAAACGGAAGATTATTATTAATTGTAATATATCTTACTACAGGGGGGCAATTGTTTGGGTACTTTACTGTTAGAGAATCAGCCCTCGTAACGAAGTCTAATATATTATATAAACAAATTAATTTTTCATAGAAATTTCTACGTGACTGCATTTCCCATGTAAAAATTTATCGTGAAACGAAAGACTCTTTTTCTCCAGATATTTAAAAAAATATGCTCGCTACCTCTACCTTTGAGGACTGTTCTCACCCCTTTAATATATACCATGACACACGCAACAAAATACTTGTGAAATATTTTTTCGAGAACTGTCACCTCATAAATTTCACGAAATTCAAATATCGATGGAAAGAAAAAATTGGAGGTATCGAAGGTATATAGTAAAATTAAAATGGAGTACCCAGGTATCCAATTATCTAACAATATGTACACGTATAATCATCTTAGTCATCCACACGAGGGTTAAGAATATTTCGTCGCGAAATTCTCGATTCTTCTGCAACGTGAGCAAAGTCTTCCGATGAATTACCGATTTTCTCGACCGATAATAATTCTGTAATCCTTAATCGAGGCTAATTCGAGAAAAACGTTTCTCGAATTCGATTACTGAAGGTGTACATAACGTATCACGTCAGAGACTGTGTACCAGAGCAATAAAGAAAATCTGTTTCTCGTCACAATGGAACATTATGGCTCGAAACAGAAGCTCGAACACGAGTCTTCATAGCGAGACATTGTATCTCTTCTTTTACACGAAACTCTGTAACAAATTGCACATTGTCTCTGACAGATACGGTTTCTGGACCTTCGAATTTAACGGGGTACACAGGCTGTCGCATAGTGTCGAATATAATGTCGCGAAATAAATAAATAGTGGAGACAAAACGTACGTTGTCCTGAGTACAGGAATAGAAAGCTCGCAAAACACGAGATACGAAAATTGGCATCGAAGGACATGAAAAATACGGACGAAGGAAAAATCGGAATAATATCCGGGTTACAAACGAAGGACCCTCGAGAAGATACGGCCATTTTTCTCTCAGCTTCTGGACAAGCGAGCTCGAGAGAAATCGCGCGATGAAGAAGCTTCTGCCACTTACCCTTCTCCTTGTCGTCCTTTCCCTTATTGTCGAAGAAACCCGTGGTGAGAGCTTTCCTCTTGAGCAAAGGTGCTCGTCTCTTGGGCTTCGTGACAACGGAACTGCTACCGAGCGACTCTGCGAGAAGAGGGAAAAGCAAAATGAAAGACTAATGAAAATTATTCTGTGAATTATAATTTTCTTTGGACGAAATTAGGCTCGCGGAGTCGATGGGTTTCGAGGTTTACGAGTGCAAGCTCGAAGGAGAAATTCTTGCAGTTTCCCTGTTGCGGTTACGCTCGTTCGCTTCCGCCTGCATACGGAAGTGGAACAAAGAAACGCAGAACGAACACGAGGAAATGGAGCTCGATGAAACGCGATCTCTTCTTGATCGTTGAGTAACGTCAATGACCACACCGGTGTGTACCGCAAAAAATTCGCCAACCGTATTGCGAAACGTGCAGGGTAGTTATTAAATGACGCGACTGGTGCGTTTAATCGCTTTAATATGAGAATTTTATACAGAAACAAAAATTGAATTTTTTGATAGTTAAATGTAATTTACGAGAAGGGGAGATGTGAGATTCTTGGGAGAATGAAATGAAATTTTGATTGAGGGAGATTTTGCGAAGTTGGGAGTTAAATTAAGGAGAATAAATGGTCGTCTAGTCGGGAATAAAATTTCGGTGCAGGTGAAGTGACTATTTAATAGATTTACGGGGGTAATGAATATTCCGTGTCTACTTAGCAAAGTGCGTATCTTTACGAGTCTATGACTATGTATGAGCAGTTCACGCGAAAGTGGGAATAAAATGTTCTTAAAGGTTTCTTGTGAGCGTCGTAAACGATATGCAGTAATCTTAAAGAGAGTGTGCACGTGATTCCCCGAGAAAGAGGATACTTCGACGCCGAAGTTACACCCCATGTTCGTAAACACGTCAATCATGCACGAGGCAACCGAGATTTCGTTCCCGACACCGAGTTAAGACACCGATTTTCTCGAGAAAAATAAAAAAGAAGAATCGCTAATCGCTCAAACTTCCACGCGGTTTCTTTGCTTTCCTTTTGTCGCGCCATCACGGCAAGGGACACGGGAAAAACAATCTCCCTCTCGCTTCGAGCTTTAAGCACGGATCAATCTTGCATTTTCAAACTTTAAATAGAGAGAATTTATATTTACGAGCTTTCGAATTTTTTTATTTACAGATATTGCAATTTTCAGGGTACCCAATTGCTCAATTCTTAATTAAGGAATTTTCGAATTTAGGGATCTTTTAATTTCCAAATATTAAAATTTTCGAGTTACCAAATTTCTTAAGTCTGAATTGGAAATGGATTTTCGAATTTCCGAATCTCCGAATTTTCCAATTTTCTAATTTCTGACTTCTCGAATTTTAGGATTTCCGAACTTTCCAATTTTTTAATTTCCGACTTCTCGAATTTTAGGATTTCCGAATTTTCCAATTTTCTAATTTCCGAATTCTCGAATTTTAGGATTTCCGAATTTTCTAATTTCCGACTTCTCGAATTTTAGAATTTCCGAACTTTCCAATTTTCTAATTTCCGACTTCTCGAATTTTAGAATTTCCGAACTTTCCAATTTTCTAATTTCCCACTTCTCGAATTTTAGGATTTCCGAACTTTCCAATTTTCTAATTTCCGACTTCTCGAATTTTAGGATTTCCGAATTTCCCAATTTTCTAATTTCCGACTTCTCGAATTTTAGGATTTCCGAACTTTCCAATTTTCTAATTTCCGACTTCTCGAATTTTGGGATTTCCGACTTCTCGAATTTTAGGATTTCCAAATTTCCAAATATTTTAATTTTCAAGCTTCTAACATTGCAAATTCTAAAGCTTGAATTATCAGCAAGGACTTACCACTCGGTGGCCTAATGTGAACACCCAGATTGAGTGCCTGAAGTTTGGCGACAGCCACCTTGCAGAGGACCTTCCTCTCGATCTCTGACAGCGATCTCAGCGGGGTGTCCTGGAGGGTGACTCGTCGACCACCTGTACCCGCCCATGTACACTTTCCCTGTAATCAAAATTTCACGCTCTGAACGCTTTTCCACTTGATCGTCGATTCGCGTAACGTTGCTGTAGGTCACGTCGCGTTGTGCGCGGAAAATGAATCGCCGCGAGATAACTCGGTCGCGCTAATCTGCACGACGATCTGCAGCTGTCGTCAAATTCCGTGTACTCGTCACACACGCGTGTGTGCCACTGCAGAAATTAACGACACCGACTTAACATCCCACTTAATAACCCACCAAACCTCTTAATATTCCAATGTTTAATCCCATTTGATAAACCCTCGTAATAAACCCTGTCGCGATCAGACCGCGTTTATTTTTGGAGAACGAAGCTACCAAGTAGAGTATCAAATAGCACGACCAACGTAGCGTATTCAGTGGATATTTTTCAAACAACAGGGACGAAGAGACGTGTCATGTATCCATGAGAATAATTACGGCAAAGAGAAACGACGAGAACTTGCGAAACGGTGATACTTTCCTGCTGGCAATAATGAACGCAAAGCGAGGTTGAAAGTGTGCTCTGAACTGCTACGGGGGACTAGGTGAAATTAAATAAGAACTGGAGCTCGCGTTGAAAAGTAAGAATGGCGGAATTACGCAACGTGAAGCTATAAAAATGATATCTCATCGCGTGTCAACATCGACGGAACGAAATTTTTATGCGACTTGTATTAAATGCCCGATTAAATACGCTTTCCTGAATCTTTTCGCATTCTTTCCGCATTTCGTCACACGAATTATCGTAATGACGACTAATTGTCAGGGTAATTGTGAGACCTTCGTAATGAAATTTCTTCGAATTTTTCCCTCTCTTTGGATCAAGTAACGTAATTACTTCCTATGACGCGTATAGCGAATAAAGAAAAGAAGGACGTCACGATTTATATAAAGATATTATTGTTTCAATGAATGGGAAAAACAAGAAGATATCTTCAATTATAGCTAGTACAGAGAAACTATACTTATCCGCAAATTGAATACTATTTCGAGTGCTTAACGAGTCTCGTTAAAATTGAAAATTATTCAATTTTATTTAGTTTATATATTTTTTAATTCATTCTCGTGCAGAATCCTTCTGCAATCTCGTTTCTTGTGGTATAGATAAATTTAGGTAAATATAGATAAATTTTATTCTGGTCGAACAATTTCTAACCAAACGAACAAGCAACAAACAACGTCGAGATTTCTGATTATTTTTGCTCGTTACAATTATCAGGGGAGCATTCTGTCTTCACGTACACCCAGTAGAATTCTATTTACCGAGAAACACGAGGGAAAAGCTGAATTCAAACGAAACTTGTGAAACACGCTTCGCGACTTATCGATGGATTTCATCTCTCAGAGAACCTGAGGAGTTCCTGCTTTAGAATTCGAAGTGGAAAAAATATATAAATCGCGTGAAATTCTCGCAAAGTCGATTCTCACGAGCAAGGAAATTAGACGGAAATTAAAATTGATGAAAGTGAGTGGAAAATTAAAATTTTAATTAGAGCCGCGATTAATAAGTTTCGACAAAGTTCTCCATGCAAGCTCGCGATCTTCGAACGACCATGAGAAAATAATCGCGCAGTTTTCCATCTTATGGAATCTTAATTTTAATTTTAATCTCCGTCGGGTTCTCCGTTTAAAAATGGCCGTATTCCGTTGTCGAAGACGAAAACGGGATGAACCGTGTGCGAAATCGCGTGGACTTTGTACCCGATATTCTAAAGCAAACACATAAAATTGATTATAAACAAATCAGTGGACGTTGAAACGAGCAGTTCGCATTCTTTCGGCGAACGATACGCTTTCGACGATTTTGCACGCAGAGGGTGCGTCCGGAAACGCGACGAAAATGAATTGGCTCCTCGTCAATTCCGAGTTCGAACATCATCGAACAACGATGTCCAATAATTTACGATCACACGGTCCTCTGGTTTAACGATTTCAAGAAGAACGCACAGAAGGCGAATAATTTATCGTTGCTCGCTTCCTGGCCTCCGATGCTCGAAGAACTTTATGCCTCTTAACGACGTCGATTATGACTAGACGATAAAATCGAAACCTCTTCCATTCTGTCGCGGATAATTTCGAAATAAATTTACGAAACGCGATGATAATCTCGTACAAAGCTTTACACGCGAGCTACATATATATAATCAGTATGGTTCCATCTTGGGGTAGATTTGGTATCGTAAGATCGTGAAAGGAATGGATAATTTCATTGGGAAAATTTGTGGATTTGGTGTTTGCTATATTTCTCAATATTCTCTATTTATTAGTTGCTCGTGTTTTCAAAAAATAATTTAAAAATGAAGAACAGTGGAATTTGTTGACAGAATGGGTGGGTGGGTGGTTGCTAAAGAAGACAAAGGTAAGACACGACATTTGTAAAGGATCACTGCCAAATCGTGATCCCACGGGACTATTTGGTAGACGGTCTGTCATTACTTTCTTGTCATCGACCATGGAACAACGAGGTATCTATTGTTCCACGCCATTAAACCAAAGTAACAAATTTAAAATAATAAAACGGAGCTTCATAAATTTATTAATAAAATAAATCTGTCATCGAGGAACGGAAATGGCGTATAATTCTCTCCTAAATTATGTAATGGTCTAGAGTAATAATTATTAAGAAATTATTCCACTAAAACGATCATTCTATAATGAAGATTACACGTAGTGTCAAATCTGAGGAATTATTTCTACGAATCTCGAGTATTAATTAATCTTCTACTAAGTTGCGAATTCTTCGTGTCAAATCTCGCGATTATATGCTACTGTTATCACGCTTATGACATGCATAAAATTCGAAGAATTTCTAAAACTTGTATCCAATTTTATCGTGGTTGGAGTAGATACACAGCTACCCAAAAATTAAAGTAACCACAATTAGATCGTAGTACAGTGGATTAACCCTTTGCACTCGAGAGGTGAGCTTCAGTCACCATTTCATAAAATTCGGAAGATCGATATTAATTAATATTTCAAATTTAATGTAATGTCACAGTGTGCGAGGTATCGAAATCAAATAATTCTACAATTCTTTATTTACTGCTGAAAAAGGTATCGTTAGTATTTTAGTAGAGAATTTTTGAATTTCTATTCTTCTCTAGTCAAAAAATCCTCAAGTGCAAAGGGTTAACACTAGAACTACCAATCTAATCAAAATGACTGGTCCCAGAATTTTCCTTTTTGCAATCACCGAACACATACACCTGCTTTAAGAATAAAATTGGTATCAACTCGTATTAAGAAAGAACTGTAATCAATATATCCACTCATATTTATGGTACCGCTGAAATTACTATAATCTGTGCACGTTATAGTTTGGTACCCATTAAAGATCGGTAGTCCTAGTGTTAATCCTCGAAGCAATTCCACGAATTGTCAAAAATCCTGTACATTCTCTTCTTACTTGGACTCGTATTCTTCCAATTGATCGTGATCGAGAAATTACCTAGGAGAGTACCAGGGAAGAAATCCCAAAGCGGGCAACTGCAGGAGTAAAAGTTTAACGAGAAGAAGCTACCGCTTGAATGAAGACGAAGCTCAAGTACATCAAAGTGCGATTCCATGGAGCCTGGATTCTCTTTTCGCGAAACGAGTTTGCGAAATTCGTACTTTCGCGTGTTGCTATTTCGTGGAAGAGCACGAGAAAAGAACGGCTGCATCGGAAGCGTATGATACCCTGTCAAACGTCGTGGCTGATGGATTCATTGCGACTTTCCGAAATACTCGAGACGTTGTTCGATGTATTTTAAGAAGACCAGAGAGCAGAATGCAAGCGGAGAAATTCGCTTCAGCTTTCCGTCAAACGTATCCGAGTGAAATTCTTTGGAATGACGACACGGCCGCGAGTAAAAGTTCAAACAAAATGGCCGCGAGAGAATTCCTGCCTGCGCCATATCAACCGATAATCCTTCAAATCCTTGGCTACAAAAGGGATCAAAAATTCTATGGCAAAATCCGCTATTCCGATGAATAAATAGATAGATGGCTGGAGCATAAAGCACTGAGAATTTCCCTGGACACGTGCACGTATGAAAAGAAAATTCCGAAGCCAAACAACATTTAAAATATTGATAAATCCTCGTCGAGAACTGCGAGTATAACAGAAGCAAAAGAAAGAAGAAAAGAGACTTGTAAAAAGGAATCTGCCACTAAGCGTGCTGTCAGTGTAACACGGCTGATAAATTCGCCACCGAATTCCGTCGTTCTTCACCGTTCAACGTTAATGAATCGCGAACGTCGAATCCGTTTATTTCTAATCGAAAGGCGTTGTCGTTCTCGCGTGTTCTCCTCGGAATACATTATTTTTAAACCTTCCATCGTCCTGTCAGACTGTAACAAACCCACGTGACGGAATGGCGCTGCGATAGAGCCGACGCTCCTCCATCCCGCCACGAGAAGCCACCACCGCCACGGCTGAGAGAAAGAGACGAGGAAGAGAAGTGAAAGAGGAGAGAAAGGGGAGAGAAAGAAGAGAGAAACGTGGAACGCTTTGGAAGACGCTTGTTTCGCAACTGGGAAAGCTCGTAGGCCGGAATAAACGCATCGTGGGATAACGTGGACCGCGTGTGTAACTGCAAGCGAGAAGCAGAGGCGGTAGTAGAGGCGGCTCACGGGCCGGTGTGGTTAGCAGACACGTAGTAGTAGTAGCAGGGGTTAAGTATAGTTTATACACACCACCGTTGGCTGACTATTTCTGGCGGCGCCGGCGAAATTCCGAGGCCCTAAATTGGTTATCGCGCTTACCGCTTAACGAGATCGCCTGCCGCAAGGTCGACCTTCTTCTTCTTCTTCTTGCGCCTCCTCTTTTTCCTCTTTCACATCCTCCGAATACTCGGTCACACCGCGGGGATATTAAACGGCGGCGGGGTCGGCCGGTAGAGAAAAATAGACGAGACGTCGAAGCTCAGCATCGTCGGAGCGCGGAGGGTCGGGATGAAGAAATTAACATGCGAAGAAATGGGGAGAAAGGAGGTTACGATCCGTGGAAGGGGTACGCGGTGATGGAGAAGCTTAGAGATTCTTCTACTTTGGTAGCAATTGGTGGAAAACGAAATAGATAGATCCGATGATCAAAATCTGCATGGAAGAAGCTCCATAAAAATTATGAAGAAATTCCAATTGGAAATTGGAAAGAGAAAGCTTTAGAATACCTGCAAGGGGTAAGTGGTGATGTAGAATCTTAATGATTTCTCTACTTTGATAGAAATTGGAGGAAAACGAAATGGATAGATCCGATGATCAAAATCTGCATGGAAGAAGCTTCATAGAAATTATGAAGAAATTCCAATTGAAAATTGGAAAGAGAAAGATTTAGAATACCTGCAAGGGGTAAGTGGTGATGTAGAATCTTAATCATTCCTGTACTTTGGTAGCAATTAGTGCAAAACGAAATGGATAGATTGGACGATCGAAAATTTCACGAAGGAAACTTCATAGAAATTATTAAGAAAATCCAATTGAAAATAGGAAAGTGGAAGATTTAGAATACGTGCAAGGGGTAGGTGGTGACGTAGAATCTTAATGATTCCTGTACTTTGGTAGCAATTGGTGCAAAACGAAATGGACAGATTGGATGATCGAAAATTTCACGAAAGGAACTTCATAGAAATTTCAATTAAGAAATTTCAATTGAAAATTGGAAAGAGAAGGATGGGATGAGAGAAACTAAGTCTGATAACCGTGTGATAATCGTTTCACCCCGTGGTGCGTAATCGTTTTGATTACTCGCTCGGAAGAATGTCGATGAAACGAGAACAGAGAAATTGGAGAAATTCGAAACATCCACCGGATGAACTTGTCGAGATCGTGTTCGACGAGGTGGCAAGTAAAATTAATTTACAAATGCTATTAAGAAAGCTAGGCAGACGAGTATTGTTATTAATAGTAACGCTCTATTTTCGTAGCAGATGTTAATAGCGACATCGTTAATTCGTTTTCTTTCTTATAACGAGGTGGACACGCTGCGCTATGCGGCGACAGGTGGTTTAAGCAAATTATTCGTAGACATGTTTTGGCAAGACAAAACTCTATGTATAGCGTGCGAGATTCGTTTATGCTTCGTTTACAACGCACAAACAGCGTGCATCCGAGTGTCTGACAACAATTTTTCGTCCTGGAGAAACTCGAGATTCCCGTCACCTAAAAATTCCGAATATCGTAAAAGACAAACGTTAGAAAATTCGCGATAAACGAACGAAGATGACCAAATTTTAATTCAACGCGAAATTCGTAGATCTGGAAAATTGATCGCTAAGTGACATTTTGCATCCTTTCTTTTTAACCCCAATAAAATTACGAAAAAAGAAATAAAGATAGAGAAGGAAAAAAATGATCATGCAAGGGGGAAAAATAGAGAGGAAGACTCACCTGTGGCGTCCACACGGAGGGTTGATTGGACGCCCGCGAGGTGCTCTTGCTCCTGGACCTCCATATCTTCTTGGCCACCAATCTGCTGCCGTGATGCACCACGCTGCTCGAGGACTTGCTCTTCTGCATCGCTGTGCCACCTGCGGAATTGGTGGACGATGACGTGAGTGCCGGTGAACCGGGTGCCGAATGCGGCTTATCCTTGTGCGCGTTGGAACCGTGTAGGAGATGGGAAAGGAAGGACTGATGGTGATGATGCTTAGGGGTCAGTGGTTCTTCGGAGCCAAGGCCAGCGTCGATGCTGCTCCTCGAGCTCGCGTTTCTACTCGGTGGCGAGGTGGTCGTGTCAGCGTCCGACAGATTCTCCGATGGATTCTCCGTCGAGGACATCTCTCTGTAATTAACGGCCCAGTTGTCTTCCGTTTGACAACCCTTGTTATTGCCGTCGTCGTCGCTTAGCTTCGACGTCTCCCCTTTGGCCTTAATATTCCTCAGATTTCTGTCATAGTTCACCCGCTTGAACCTATCCACCTTGTCAGCGTCCATGGACTTCTTTCTAGCCATTCGAAGGTACCTTTTGATGGTATCGCTGACAGACGGCGAAACATCGTCGTTATCCACGCTGCTTCGCCTGCGACCGCTCGTTTTGTGCATCGATACCTCCTTCGACTCTTCCTTCTCCCTCTCCAAGAGCACAGCGTCGAGAACCTCGCGAGGAACAGGGTCCGTTTGCACGCCGTCGTTTACGGGCCCTCGATCGATGCTGGGTTCTTGCACGGCTATCAGAGGCGGCGGAGAGATAAGGTCTCTCCTGGCCGACCAATCCTCCGTGTCTTTCGATGGTATTCTCGTCCGCTGGTGGGTCCACCAGCGGGAAGACGGCGACGTGTAAGCGCCGGTAGCACGTGGTCCTCTGAACCCTCTGGTGCACCTCAGGTCAAAGTACAGCTTCTCCAAGAGCTTTCGATCGGTCAGAATAGCCGAGATCACGTGTTCTCGAGTCGCGGATTTCCTGTAGTATCGACTGATCGTTTGCATCAACGATTTGTGCACAAAGTCGCCTTGATACGGCTGCACCGGCATCTGAACTTTGTTCGACGTTTCACGCGAGTCTCTGTGCAGCGAAACCTCCTCGAGTTTCGCCTGAGCCACTATCAGATCCAAATGTTGCTGAAGCTTGCTTATCAGACTCTGATAATCGAACGGCTCCTTTCCCTCCGCCTGGCCAAACGCACCACCCGATCTCTCGAACGACTTCGTCGTATCAGCCGCGTCGCTCTGCATGTTCAGATACTTTTGCAACATGTCAGCCAACGCTTTCGTCTCGGAGTCCTCTTGCGGGAATTTCCTGCTCTCCGAAGGACTCGACGGCGTGCTTCCTCCTTCCGACGCCAGTAACCAATCTCTCTTAGCTTTCGCCAGGTCAAACTTGCCCGCCGTGGTGGTCTGAAGGATGAACCCTCGAGGCGGATTCCTCACTTCGTCCGCCTCGTCCGCAGAGCTAGCCTTGGTTCGACAACTGCCACCCTTCACTTGCCTTCGACGCCTCTGCGATCGAAAACCCAACGTGCCCGGATAGGAAGCCTTCCTCCAGAGTAGAAACCTCGGCTCCCTCTGACACACTTCCTGAAAGTATTGCTCTATCTTTGGAATATCCTCGGGCCTGTTGTGCGTGCCATCGGGGATCAGGCGTCTGCCGGCGTCGGCCATGTACCGCCACGTCTTCCTCGTCAGCAACCATCGCTCTTTCGAAGGTTTGCTCGACCGTTTGGTCCTCCGATCCCTCGAGGTTGGCGGCGTACCCCGGAACGAACCCCCTGTCTCCATACTGTCCCGACGCGAACGTCGCCTACCCCCAGGACGCTCCGCCATCGTCGCGTCCTTTTCCTTCTTCGCCACGCGAACCACTTTCGCGGAATTATTTTTACTCTTTGAACACGATCACCGACCGACGACCCGACCAGCCGACCATTTGCTCCGTGCCACTATACCATTACCGAACACCCGCGTGGCATTCACTCGCGGCTACGTCATCGACGCTCGATACCAGCGCACATACGACGTTCGATCGTTCCGTCGAACCAACACTCGCAGATATCTCCTCTCGTCCAAGGGAGCACGAATGGAATGGACGGGACACCGCACTTTGCACACTCTCTGATCTGTCACAGCGGAGGAACTGAGCCGGCACGGGTGAAAAATTGCGTCGAAGTTTCTGGCTGATCGATGAATGACGCAGTTTCGTGGAAGACGGTATCGTCGAGAGAAATAATGGCCGGGAATTCGTTGAATTTTCCCCAGCGAGGTTTCCTCCTGTGCACGCCGTTCGAGGGTCGCAGGCTCGAGGACACGTGAAACGGAATGACGAGCGTGACGTACTCCAGGGTACGAAGGTTCGAGCTCTTCTCTCTCGGAGGTGTAAAGCGTACGGGAAACGCGTCCGTGCTTTCTTCCGGCAAGTATAAAAATCGAATGGCCACTTGTTGGTCGAGTGGGAAATTACCGGTTGTTCCCAGCGCGGAACACGTAACCCTGCGAGAGCAGAAACTGATCCAACTCTCTCGGTTCCCCGTATCACGCTTATTTTTATTCCGCGTACGAAACTTTACGCTCTTTTTACGCCGGCTAGCAGCAGCAGGCCCGCGTTCGGAACTTCAACAACAACGGGCTCCAGATTAATTTAGACTTCGCAGATCCCACCGAAATTCAGCTAACCACTGCTTCTCCTCTGCACCTCCTCCTTCGTATCCGACTCTCGGATCCACCGCGAACGACACGCTGTCCCTCTCCTCGTAATCGATCCTCGCGAGCACCATCGACGACTCGTGGTAGCGGAAGAGACGAATCGCCCAGACCAATTCTCCACTTAACCTTGCCAACTCGAGTTTCCAAGCGAGCAGCTACAGGTTTCCAGAGACTCGCCGACCAAGCCTCGACCCAAATTTAACTCGTCCTCGCAGAAATGGATCGAAGCGATCGAGAGCGGAATCGGCGGGTGTAGCACGCGCGTTCTCCAACTGAGAACCACTGATCCTCCGATCCCGTTCCTCCGGCGTCCTTCTTCGGCGTCCCTCTTCGGCGTGCCCCGTGTGTAGAGCTCGGTTGCACAGGGGGTCGAGGACACGCAACGCGAGAGGCGAGACGAAACGAACGCGAACGACGTGGTGCGACAGTGGAGAGTCGCGTCGAGCAGACGTCGAGGAGAATCACGTTACGTACGGCCGCGAGCCGGCAAGGTGGAAGCTGCCTAAGGTACGCGACTACTGCTTCTCAAGGCGTCGCGACGCTCGTGGACGCTCCGTGTCTAAAAGCGTCTTTGCCCCTTCTTTCCTCGTGCCTCTCTTACGCGAGAAGAGAAGCGAAGCGAGTGCGAGAGACGGAAAAGGGGAGACTGACGGACGGCGAGAGGTGGAGCGAGAGAGACAGAGGAACGGCGTCGGTGGAAGAAGAGGAAGAAGAGGACGATGACGATGATGAGGAGAAAGATGAAGCGGGAAGGACGGGGAGGAAGGCTCGGTTGGAAGAGGACGGAGACGAGGATGGAGCGGACCGAGGAAGAGGTGCTGCGGTCTAGGGTACCTGGGACCGCAGACGAACCGGAGGTGGTGTCCACGACGTTGTCATCGTTTGCCAAATACCGACGCCGCTTTCTGGCCAGCCGCGTCTACGTGCACAGCTCTCGCGTACCTCGTAGTACGATAGTCCCCGCCTTGACGATTTGTTTATAACGATCGCGCCGCTTCGCGGACGGCGCGCAGACGTTTTTTAGCCAGCGTTCCAGGGGACGCTCGCGACGCGACGCCTGTTTTCGTAACACCTCCGACGTCCCAGTTCCACGATCGTCTTTCAGGGTCCGTCGCTCGTAGAAAATATTTTTCTTTTCTCTTTTCTTTTCTCCCTTTCGCCCTCTCACTATCTCTCCATCTTTCTCTTTTGCCGTATAGCGTGTCCCGAGCGGATGACGGGGGCTGAATCGAGTCGTGAGTAGAACGATCGGATAAGAATTATCCGCGTTATCGACGCCGGTGGAAGAATACGCGATATCGCGAACGAAGAGGACCAGCGAGGGCAAGAGGAGCGACGCGAAGTAGTAAAGTCCGGCAAATCGCGTGAGATTCTGTCGAGAATATCGATTCTGTTTGCCAAACGCTATAAGAAATTCCTGGCGAACGTGCAATTTCTAAATTCGTCGGTTCAAGCAACTCTGCCGCGAACTTTTGTCTTGCTACGAGTTACAAGTGTATGTCTATGCTTCGACGGGGAGAAAAAAGGGGCGTGGAAGGAGAAAAATACCTTACTCGATACGCGTTTTCGACGAATCGAAAAACAAGCCCGGATCGATTGGCGAATAGCGCGTTTGCGCTAAATCGCAAACATAGACCGAAACGATCTCACCGATTTAGAATCGTATGTCCAGAAATAACTTCACTTTTTCGCCGACTCGAAGGTTGCACGCGGGTCTATGCAGAATATAAAGGAAAGAAACGAGAAAAGAAACGGAGGCAACGTAGCGAGGAGATGATGGAGCGTCGATATCCACGTGCACGATGGCTCAAAGTCCGTGAACGAAGCTCACGGTCGGAAGTCGAAAAAGGGAAGTGAAGAGGTCCGAGGATTACCTAACGTTTCGGGACGAAAATGTGGGACATTTCTTTATACGCTCGCGCGCCACTGACGTAGCACGATAAAAATCGCCATGAGGGCATTGCCTAATATTCCTAGGGATGTATTCCGCGTCCGGGACTATTTCGAGACTCATTCTCTAATGCAAGTCAGACCACACCTCGGCTCGCCTATATGGTGATCGTAAATCAGCGCTGGCCTAGCTCGCCGGGACTCTTTATTTTTTCGAGCGGAAAATCGCCGACTGATTTATCGACGAATGCGCCCGGAATTTCTAGGCTGCAAGCAGTCCGGCCGAAAAATATGGAAGCCGACGGGGCGAGCCTCGCGAATTCGTCGACGGCCCGTATCCGTTTCGTTGCGATTGATCTCTGGCCTACGTGAAAAAGGAAACATCCGAGCTGATGGAGTTACGACGAGCAAAGTGGCATCGAGAATAGAGGTGTAGGTAGATCTAATCGAGGAGCTGAGTGCTAAAGCGGTACCTATCTAGGCAATCTTCTTACAAATTTCCAAACCTCTATGAATAGACAACGTGTCTTGGCTTCTCTATTAATTCGCTACACTAATCCATTCCGCCAAATTAACAACCTATCCCCAATTACCCTTCGAAACGACAAACGTGAAACAAATTTCAATTAAATTTCCGAGTCTTCCAAAATTATTTACCAAATTTCCCAGCTTCTAGTGAAAACAACAAAAATACTTCTTCCTAGACCTCGCACGAATCCTAGCCATAGACGAGCATTGCACAGATAAGACACCCCACCCTGACTCCCCGTTTCATTTGAAATCCACTCGAGAAACACTACAACATTATCATACTCTTACGCCAAGAACAGTTCGAGCTACTCATCCGACGCGATCGCAGCGCGGACGTAAGCGCGAGCGAATCCGCTCGGATTATTGAAATCGCGCATCCTCGAACGGCTGCAGCGGCGCGCGGGTTAAAAGTGGGGTGGCAGCGTGGCGGAATCTGATAAAAGATCGGCCAAGGCGCGGATCGCGAGAGGGACAACGCGTATTGCGCTATCTTTAGCGTTTACGTTTTCTCGACGCCGAAGTGTCTGCCAGCCAGCCTTATCTGTACTCGTCCGCGCGCCTCGAAACTTTCTTATCTAACGTGACAGGCGGACTTTCGCGGGTCTAACCGGTCACTTCCGATCAGCTTTGTGTCCGAAACGTTGTCCACGTTCCTAGAGACCGACGATAGATAAACGCGAGGCAAATGTCGCGACGCGAACGACACCGACGAGTCGATTTTGAAGACGAAAGGACAGAGGCCGAGGGACAATTGCTCGTTCACGACTGTTCTAATTGTTCCGCGAACTCGTGGGTGTTCTGGCTGGAGGATCGATGAAAGATTGGATTTGTTTGGTTTACGTAGGTGCAATTTAGTCGGAACGTGGCGTGCTACGTTCGTCGATACTGACTTTGAGAACATTCCCTATTTTTGGGCGATACGATGCTTCGGAGTAACCGAGATGACGGTTTTATCATTTCCCGAGGAATTTGTTTTCTCTCACTACGGATTATGATCCGCTAAAATTTCGGAAAATGTACAGTCTGACGATTTAGATTTACATTACGTGTCGGAATAGGTTTGGGTTGTAGGAAAATGTAAATTCCGCGTGATTCACTAAGCATAATGAAGTCGGGTGTCCTAACAGCTGTCAATCGTGATGGAAATAATCATAGAGTCGATAGATCGATCGATTTTTCTTCCTATTTATTTTGCTTCTTTCGTAATATATATATAAGGATAAGAAATGCAAGTGTCAAATGGCGTCACTAATCGATGGAATCGACTGATTGCGAGTGGATGGAACGCGAGATTATGTTCGCACAAAATTGAACTGTCACGTTGTGTGCAATTGAGACAACCATAGGTGGTTTACGATTACGATAGGATGGCTCGTATGGATGTTGATAGACACGTCATTATCGATCGCAGAAAACGGAAGGGGCTTGACGGATGTGGTAAAGCTGCCATTAAACGGTAATTGTATAGAATGCTTAAATGCCCGAGAGTACTGAAAACAACGAGAATCTATCGCTTAAAAGCTTTTTAACGAACGTAAGAAAACGCGAAATCATCGTAAACGGACTGTTTCGTTACTATAATAACTTACAGCTTCGTTGTAATAACTTCGCGAATCTGCTCAATACACTTTCGTAAACGTTGTGCTCAATATCGTACAAAATTTACTGTACGATTTCTCATTTAGAGAATTTATCTCTAAACGATG